AATGTATATTTACACCTTCAAATCCTTTTAAATCTCCTCTTTTGTACAACAATGATTGAGTATTCATTATTTGCCAGGTACTATTCTAGAAATTAAGCATATTATAAAGAAAACGTAGTAAGGTCTTACCCTTAGGGATATGCATGCAAACTAGGGGGTAGGAGAGGAGGCTTGTATTTTAATTCATGTAAAAATAACTTAATAACTCCTTAAACATAAAAGAGTTTAAAAATATAGAAATCATTAATTGGAAAGTATATTTTAATGAATCCTCAAAGCTATAGACCTTGATATTAATATATGCTTAGTAAAAACAGACTCTATTGAAGACTTCATATTTTATGTATACCCAAAGACAGGTCTCTTTTATTTCCAAAGAAGCTGTTCTATAGAAGACACAATAATGAATCACATACCCAACTTAGAACACAATGGCACCGAAGTCCATGCATGGCCTTTTGCTACATTAAGCAGTAACTTTGAGTATGAATTTATTTCCCATAAAAAAGGCAGGGTGGTGTAGTATGATGTAAACATACAACATTTGGGTACAGAGAAAAATAGGTGCAAACTAGCTACTGAACTGTAAATTCCTCTTTTTGCCATATTATTCTGCCTAAGAAGAGAACAAAGAGATGAATGCTACTGCATGTACCATAATCCTAAAGGAAGTGTGGATAAAAATCAAGCACTTATCCCAAATTAGTGTGGCTAAAAATCCTTGGATAGGTCTATCTTTGTCTACATATATGTGTCATGGTTAGGTAGAACTCTAGCCAAGATAAGCAAGAGTTTACATTGAAGTAGCAGGCAAGCACACTAGATTATATGAGGCAGCATGAGAAAATAAATGCTATCAACTTGTTAGAAAGTTAAGCAAGGTTAAATCCAGTGCAGTATTTGAAGCTACTTAATATACAAATAATTAAAAGAGTTGCTATTTTATTTAATGCTGAAGAACACATGCTCTTTAGCCTCATTCTACATGACATAAAAGTATTAAGAAGAGTTAATTCCTTATTCCGAAAGCAATCATTTACAATAATAATATGAAAAATTAAAAAGCAATCTATGGAATGGGAAAAAATATTTGCAAGCCATATATCTGATAAAGGGTTTTTTTTTTTTTAAAATATTTTATTTATTTTTTTATTTCTCGGCGGACACAACATCTTTGTTTGTATGTGGTGCTGAGGATTGAACCCGGGCCGCACGCATGCCAGGCGAGCGCGCTACCGCTTGAGCCACATCCCCAGCCCCCTGATAAAGGGTTAAAATCCAAAATATATAAGTAACTCCTACAACTCAAGAGCTAAAACCGACCTGATGTTTAAAAATGGACAAAGGGCCTAAACAACATGTTTTAAAGAAGACATACAAATGGCCAACAGGTGCATGAAAAAAATGCTCATTATCACTAATCATCAGGGAAATGCAAGTCAAAATTACGATGAGGTATCACTTTATGCCTATTAGAAAGGCTATTAACAAAAAGTCAAAATGTAAGTGTTCGTACGATATGGAAAACAGATGTACACTGCTGGGAATGTAAAATGGTATAGTCAGTATGGAAAACAGTATGAAAGTTCCTCAAAAATTTAAAAATAGAACTTTATGATCCAGTAGTCATACTTCTCAAAGAGGTATACGCATTCCTGGGCTAACTTTAGTATTTTTCACAACAGCCAAAAAACAACCTAAATAGCCATAAAGGATGAATGGACAGACTATACATCCTCTGTAAATATATACATACATACAATGGCGTATGATTCAGTCTTTAAAGAGAATGAAATCCAGATAGGCAGGGTGACACATATCTACCTGTATGCTGGCTGATCAGGAGGTTGAGGCAGGAGGATCACAAGTTTTAGGCCAGTCTAAGCAACTTAGCGAGACTTTCTCAAAAGAAAATAAGAAAACTGATGAACAAGTAGTTCAGAGGTGGAGCATTTGCCTCGAATGCACCAGGATCTCAGTTCAATCCCCAGTACCAGGGGAAAGAAAACAAAAGAATAAAATCCTGCCATTTACAATAACATGAATGAACCTTGAGGATATTTTGCTAAGTGAAATGAACCAGATATAGAAAAATAAATGTTATACAATCCCACTTACATATAGAATCTAAAAAATGCAAATGCAGAGACATAGAGAATAAAATGGTGGCTACCGGAGGTCAGAGGTAGAAGAAATGGAGAGAGGATGGTCAAAGGGCATAAACTTTCAGTTCTAAAATGAATTAAGTTCTGGAGACCTAATGTACAGCTTGGTGTCTATGGTTAATAATTATGTATTAAATAGGTGAAATTTGCTTTAAGAATAGATCTTGAGTACTCTCACCATACCTATAAAAAAAAAGTTATTAGTGTGAAGAGATTGATATAATTTGATTTGTAACTGATGATTCCATACATCAAAACTTCATGTATATTTTAATATTTTTTTGTTAATTTGTGAATATACATACATACAGTAGAATATGATTCAGTCTTTAAAGAGAATGAGTTTTTATTTGTCAAATATACTCTAATAAAACTGGAAAAAAATTGATTCGTATTTCTGAACAATCTAAATAAATTTCCAAAAACAAAAGGACACATAAATTAAAGAAGTAGGGTTGTTTATTCTTAGGAAAGAACAGAAATAAAATAATCTCTGATTCTAGTACAGTATGCTAAAAAAGCTAAAACAAAGAAATTACCAGTTAGTGTTCTTCAAACAATTAAGGAAAGAAAAAACATTTTAGGACTGGAGACTGAAGATGTAAAAATTTTAAGTACAATGTTAAGTATAAAGTATATGTTCAAATCATAAAAGTAATCCAGACTGGTAACTAAAAGAGAATATATAATCATGTTTACTGTAGGTTTTTAAATTTTCATTTAATAGAATGAAAACCAATAATAGGGTTAGACAGATATTCCTGCTTAGAAAGGAAACAAGAATATCAACTAGAAGAGCAAGTCTTAAAATTGGGTTCACAAGATTCTTTTACAATTTAAAAAAAATTACCGCTGGTTCCTGAGAGCTTGATTGTGGGTTATTTATTAATTTAAAAAAATCCATTACACATTAACTATATATAACACTTTAAAACAAAAAAAATAACTAAAAAAATAAATCAAAGAGTGACATTATGTGTTTATAAATTTCTTTTAAAGTCTGGTTCAGTAGAAGACAGCTGGATTTTCAAAGAATTCAATCTCTTGTAATATGTTAATTTGATTCAAGTACAGTATTTGCAGAAAATTCAGACTTTATACAGTTAGAAAAGAATTTTAAAAGTTGTCTCTTCAAATAACTATGAACATTTGTTTTTGATACTCCAAAAATTCAACGAGTCATATTACCATTGCCTTGATTCATCTAAAAGCACAAGCAGTTTTAACCCTCCATTTTTGCATTATCACTGCAAATGTCAACACAGTGAAAAAGACAAATCACATCTTAATATTATAAAAATGTTCTTGACTTCACATTCCTTTGAAAGAGCCTCAGGATACAGGAGTCCTAACAACACATTTTAAGAATCACCAGACTAAATGAGTATCTTTCATATAAATTAATAATTAAGAGCAGTGGCCTTCCTTCTCTCCTTCCTTCCAAATGGGAATCTCACTATGTTGCCTAGGCTGGTCTCAAACTTGTATACTCAAGTAAGCCTCCTGCCTCAGCCTCCCAAGTAACTGGGATTATAAGCATGCACCACCATACTTGGCTTTACATGATTTTCTTATATAATGTTTTCCAATTTATAATGTAAATCTGTACATTATACTACAAATGGTCAAAAAATATTTTGCTACTTGGTTTCTTCTGTGTTAAAATAGACACATTAACTCAGTAATAATAATATTTAAATATGTTTTACATTGGGACTATAAATAAATTTTAATTGTAGATAAGACCTGATGTTAAACATTACTAGAATATTTAATATTAGTGGGCTAAATCAATAGTTTTTTAATTTCACTGAAAATACTCAACAAAAATGTCATGTTAGAATGCCTTAGTAGATTAAGCAACTAATTGTTAAATTATTGAAAACAACACTAAGTGTTTACCATTGTATTTATGGTATTTACAATCTAGCAAAGAGGAGCTTACTAATGATAGTATGGTTTTAAATGCGAATTTCAAAGAATAAAAAGTATATTTCAGGTTCAAGTAGTTGGGATGAATTAAAATATAAGGCAGAAACCAAGTTAGAACTTAAAGGACAGTAATTAGAGAAGAAAGAACACATTTTAGAATCAAAAAGCAACAGGAATAAAGTTAAGGGTGGGGCAGTATAATTCCTAAAGCAGAAGGAATCAAATTGACAGTCAAGATCATGTTAGAGAGTAATGAGAGATTAGATTAACTGGGTAGAATGAAGGCAGAAGTAGGGAGTGTTCTGGAAGGCAAACAGAATAATGAAGACAATAGGGCATTGTTATAACTTTCTCATAAGAAAAAGAACACTGAAAGGAAGACTAATCTGGAAATGAGATTATAAACGAGACAGACTTGCAAAAAGATCATTTAAGTCAGATACCTTAAGTATTGAGAGAAAGGATTAATAAGGATGAACCAAGTTTGAGGCAATAAAAATGGAAAGAAGTAATCCCAGGAGATAAACTTAGTGAACCTGGTATTAGTACCATGTTAGGTTAAGTAAATTAAAGATGATTTTAAGATATTTAGGATTATGTAAATGAAATACTATATTTCATTCATCCTATGAAATCTGCCAAGGATCAAAATATCTTTATAGCAACAAGAATATATGAACAAACCTCACTATTTAAACTTCTGGTTTAAGTTAGATATAATCTTTCAGTTTTAATTTAGGTATGATAAAAAAAAGTCACAAATAATTTAGGCATATTCAGTTTTAGAAAGTTAAACCCACTGAAATACCAAAAAATATGCACATACCTGTATATATTTTCAATGATTACAGTTGCTTTCCCCTTTCACCAATTTGTTATCAATTGGTTTATAGTAATACTTACCCTAATATTCTATTCATTCCATGTCTAGCAGCATAGTGCAATGGAGTATTGTGCTGGTAGGGCTCCCCATAAGATGTATTTGGATCAAGGGATTCTTTTAACTGAGGATTGTTTTCATATATTTGGCAGGCCAGGTTTTCATCACCATTGATGAGAGCTTTACGGAATTTGGTGGTTGTATTTCCCATGTTTTGATTTGTTTTCTTTTCTAATAAGCAGTGGCACTTTTTTCTTTTCTCCGTCAGCCACTTCTTGAATGCTTCTGCAACATGATTCACATCCTAATGAAGGAAAAGTTATTCAAATTAGATTATAAAACAGTAATCACAAGCAGCATCTTAAAAAAAGTAAAAAAAACTTTGAGAAGCATATGTAAATGGCAAAAACAATGCTCCGTTTTATGAACTTTATCTCGGCTAAAAAAATCTCAAATTTCTAACACCGCCCAAATTAGCTTCTTTTTAAACTACAACATTTTCTCACAGAGACTGTTATGATTTGATAGACTGTACTATATAAGTTATCTATATATACAAGCTTTTCATGTTTCTTCTTCACATGGGCAGGAAATCAGCTTGACTGAGTTTTATGGTTGAATACACTTAAGTTTCCATATAAATCCTACTCAACCAATTTGTGGAAGAGTAAATATAAGAAATTTTGTTCAAGTAAGAATTACAAAATAGGTCTTAAGTTACAGTAAAGGAAAACAAACCATTCAGTGCTTATAATAACATCAAAGAAAGCTTTTTAAATGCAAATATAAGACTATACACTTACTGAAACTCAGATAATAACAGGAAACTAATAAAACTGATTATAGAAAGAACAAAATATTATTCTATCTTTATGATTAGTAAATATATTTCTTTCTACTATGAAGAATTCAAAACAAGCCTAAAAACATCAGATACTTATGCACTGTATTCGGAAAGAAGTTATAATAAAGATCATATGGGCATGTACTGCCAAAGCAACGTGAGGTGGGTGGTGTAAGGTCACGGAAACAAATACTGGAATTGAGATATAAAATACTATATTTGCCTACAATGTGTGATTTTAAGCAAGTTATTTACCTTCTAAAAGCCTCATATTCCCATTTATACAGCAAATAAATGACTGCTTATTAGGCATGACTACAAGGATTACAAGAATAACTTTATGTATTGTATGTAAGAGTTCTTGGTTAGTGTGTTCAATAAATGCCAGTTTTATTCCATTCCAATAAATCTTATTTCTAAATCTATTATTGAACAATGATTACTATAGTTTGAATATATCAAAAGACTCATTTAAAAAATATTTATATATGCATATATATTTTAAGTTGTCAATGGACCTTTATTTTATTTATTTATATGTGGTGCTGAGGATCAAACCCAGTGCCTCACAGATGCTAGGCAAGTGCTCTACCACTGAGCTACATACAACTCCAACCCCACAAAGACAACAACTGTTCACGGATTAGTAGAGACTAATTATTGAGACATGACAACTAAAGGCCTTGTGGAATCCTAGATTAGAGTCTGAAATGTCGGCGGGGGGGTGGGGGTGGGCAACAGACAATAATGGAAAACTGATGAAATATAAATAACATAAATATAGTCATTCCTTAGTATTTTTCAAGAAACTTATTCCAAGATATTCCATGGGCACCAAAATCCACTGATGTTCAAGTCTCCTATAGGAAATGGCTCAGCATTTGCATATCATCTATGCACATCCTCCAATAATCCTTCCTGTAAATCACCTCTAGATGACTAGATAACTGTTTAGATACCTAAAACAGTGTAGATGGTATATAAATGGATGTTGTTTATGGAATACTGCCAAGGAAAGACTTCATGTAGTATAGACACAATTTTTTTCCAATATTTTTGATCCCTGGTTGGTGGAATCTAAAGTTGAAGAACCCACAAACAGAAAAGGACAACTGTAGTTTAGTCAATAATATACTAGTGTTAATTTCTCAGTTTCGATAACTGAACTATGGTTATTTAAGATGTTAACATTAGGAAAAACTAAGTAAAAGGTGGAATAACAAAGGGAATAAAAACGTCCTAAATTCACAAATCCTTGAAGAATATAATAATAATATAATAAGAATATATAATAATAATCCTTGAAAATATAATACTAAGTGAAGTTAGCCAATTCCAAAAAACCAGCTGTCCAACGCAAGGTAAACAGGCTGTTCCATGAAAACTCATTTGCTATTTACTATTATTTTTGGTACTAAACATCTAATCTCTATGCAATCTTTTAACCCAGGGTATTAAGCTATGTAAAAATCACAAGATATACTGGCTCCTTTAGAATAGATTTTTCTTATAAGAGACAAAGGAAGATGGGAAGAAAACAATGTCAAAAACAGCCGCCTGCACTCATACATTGCTGGTAGGACTGAAAAATGGTGAAGCCAATATAGAAAGCAATATGAAGATTCATTGGAAAACTTGGAATGGAACCATAATTTGACCCAGCTATCTCACTCCTTGGTCTATACCCAAAGGATTTAAAAACAGCATACTACAAGGACACAGCCACATCAATATTTATTGCAGCACAATTCACAATAGCTAAACTGTGGAGCCAACCTAGATGGCCTTCAATAGATGAATGAATAAAGAAAATGTGGTGTGTGTGTGTGTGTATATATATATATATATACACACACACACACACATACATACATACATACACACACACACACACACACACAAAATGGAATATTACTCAGAAACAAGAGAATAAAATCATGGCATTGCAGGTAAATGGATGGAGTTGGAGAATATAATACTAAGTGAAGTTAGCCAATCCCAAAAAACCAAATGGCGATTGTTTTCTCTGATATAAGGAGGCTGATTAATAGTGGGGTTAGAAGGGAAGCATGGGAAGATTAGACGAACTCTAGATAGGATAAAGGGGAGGGAGGGAAAGGGAAGGGGCGAGAGGTGTAAAAAAGATAGTGGAATAAGATGGACATCATTACTCTAAGTACATACATGAGGACACGAATGGTGTGCATATACTGCGCATACAACCAGAAATATGAAAAATTATGCTCTATGTGTGAAATATGAATTGTAATACATTCTGCTGTCATATATAACAAATTAGAACTAAAAAAATTAAAAATAAAGTAAAAAACCCAGCTGCCTGAATCCAATTTGCATCCCTCTACTAAAAAAAATACACATCCTAGTATTCAGGTTTAACGTTTTAAGATGTTATTTTGGAGGAGAATATGGTTTCTCCTATAGCCCAGGGTATGTAATAATCAACTTTAGCAATAGCAGGGTTCAGGATTTGACTATAAAAGTATGTAGTGGTAGTCATTAGGAAGGAAGTGATAGTTCAATGGCTTTCTACAGGGTAAAGGCAAACTCTTAGAAAATACATAAAGGCTGTTTTTAAGGGCAAAGAGTTTGCCTGAAATTGGCTATTTGCTTCTGAAAATAATCAGAGTTAAGGCCATATAGCTGGGTAAGGCTGAACCCTTGGAATTCTTTTTTTTTTTTTTTTGTAGTTGTAGATGGACACAATGCCTTTACTTTATTTATTTTCATGTGGTGCTGAGGATAAAACCCAGTGCCTCACACTTGCTAGGCAAGAGATCTACCACTGAGCTGCAAACTCCAGCTCCTAGACCCTTGGGTTCTTATCCTAAGAGTTTGGCTTTAGCTTTAACTTTCTCAGCTTCATTTCAGGGCATCACAATTCTTAACAGTATCTTCTCTAAAATGATAGCTTATTTATTATCTTGGCCACTTACAACTTGGCTAGTATAATTTAGTAAAAAAAAAAATCCTTTGACAGATTAATTACTACAATGTGGCACAGTGAAATGAAAGTGCTTTTAAGATAGAACTAGTTTAGAACTGAAAAGTCTTTAAATGTCAACTTTGGTTTTCTCATCTAGAAACTAATATTTGTTCTGGAAGGCCATTTTAAAGATATATATATATATATATATATATATATATATATATATATATATATATTTCTTGTAAATTGTGGAAAATATGTATACATATTTTTCCACAATTTACAAGAAATAATTAGTGCAACATAACTTCTTCCATTTAAGATTATAAAGTCTACCAACCAATAAGACACAGCTTATACTTCTCTACATGAAAACTATTTGTTGCATAAAATTGTTAGTTCATAAAATCACAGGAATAGGGGCTGGGGTTGTGGCTCAGCAGTAGAGTGCTCACCTCGCATGTGTGGGGCCCTGGGTTCGATCCTCAGCACCCACATAAAAATAAATGAAATAGAAGTATTGTGTTCAACTACAATTAAAAAAATATATATTTTTTTAAAATCATAGGAATAGAAAGGACTTAATTTAAATCTTCCCAGTTTGTGGCCAGGTGCTTATAATTTCAGTGACTCATGAGGATGAGGCAGGAGGATCCCAAATTCAAGGCCAGCTTCAGCAACCTTAAAGAGACCCTGTCTCAAAATAAAAAATAAAAAGGAATGGGGATGTAAATTAGTGATAAAGAGTTCCCATAACCAAAAATGAAATAAATCTCAGTCTGTATACCCATATTTAATCCATAAAAGCTCTTAACATGTATAGTTTATTGTAAGTAACTGCCTTCTACACTAGATACCTAACAAGCCTATAATCAATTAGGCCATGAAATGGTTTTTGAAATTCTTTATTAAAAGTATCTGGTGGCACATTCTGCTGTCATACATAACAAATGAGAATAAGTAAAATAAAGTTTCTGGTGGTTCTCTTCCAAATTTCATACAGAAGTTAAGAGTATCAAGGGCATTCAGTAAAGTACAAATTGCCCCCACCATGCCAAGAAAATATGAAATTTTTAAAGTTAAAATGATTTAATGTTATTTCCCCTCCTCTTTTTATTCTTTAAAGAACTGAGCTGTCAAAGATTAGAAAACTGCTATTTATAAAAGTCCATGAAGATCTTAGAAAAAACAACAATAAAAGCTTTATTAGAAAGTGCTACAGTCAGATGAAACTGGCGTAGTTCACTCAGAAAATGACATGAAATAAAAAGGCTGATCTGATCAACTCATGACAAAGAAAGCCTTTCAGAAATGTGATGGCAAATTGGCAAGAGTCTACTGAGAAATTTTACATCCCCCATAAAGTTATTCACTGTAACAGCCGGCCACTATGGATCTCTAACTCCCCAACACACCCCTTCTTTATCTTAATCTAATTAGTATGATAGATTTTAAAAATTTGACCTATACTATACCATGTTATAAACAAAAAGTTCTGCTCGCATGCAAACAT